TGCTGCTTGGCCTGCTGTGTTCATCCAGCCCTGCACCTTGTTGTCTAACATTTATCTTTATTGCTCCTCCAACTCAGTGGATTACAAATTACTCAAGGCCAAATCTACAAATGTCTTTGTCTTTTCCCAAATTTAACTACTGGGTGTCTGATCTGTCTGATCCTACAGCCCCTAGTGTACTTGGGATGATCCACACAGAAAGATAAACCAATTGAGAATATCTGCTGATAGCTTAAAAATGTTCTCAGCACACGTTTAAAAAACATGTACTGCCATTGATGTCATTCCATCCCGTTCACTCATATTTATTACACTTACTTAGGTGCAGCCATGTTACTGGCAAAGATTTTTCTGTATGCATGTGCAGAAGTTTCCACACACGCCATGTGAACTTTCATGGGTGTCAGGAGACACTGTCAAAATGCACTACGTTTTGCTTTCAAAACAGCTCCTTAATGGAGTTAACATACTTTTCTCCAGACTTGCTGGTTTGTGATGATGCAATGGCTTAAAGAAGTGCATTTTGTCTTGGAATTTTTGTTTATAAAGACAGGTTGAGACAGAAGTGACGAGCGTTCTGTTCCAAGCTAATAAAGTTTGAGGCCTTAGACTTTTTTTTAAATAAAGTTGGAACTATAAAAGCAGTATGAAGGTCAAGCTCCCATAGAACTAAGATTTTAGTTTAATCTTCAGTAGTTGCTGGGGTCTTGAAGCTGGATGTTGGATGTAGAAGTGTTCCTTCTCTCTCTATAACAGCCAAAACCTTGGGTTCTTGTCTTGCTGCTAAAATTGCACCTGAGACTACCTATGTTACTGAATTTGCCTTTGCCAAGGGCATGCTTATGGGATGTGGCTATACTAGTTAAATAATCTATTATTCTGTTCATCTTTCCAACAGAGTTAAGTTATTCCAACTCTTCTTTCTTTTGTTTGTATTTTAACTATAAACTGTGTTTTGCTTCAAGCCTGGTATTTGACTAGTCAGATTGCCTTCTAGATACAATGCTTTACACTTGGCTTTAAAAATTGGCTTCTAGGCTATCTTCTCAATATATTTTAAGGGGGTTTGGTCTGGTCCATAACAGGTTCAACCAAGAAAGATCCTTGTTTACAAAGGTGCTTTTATTTTCTACCATTAGGGAACTTCAATACAGAAAGAGATGAAGTTAAGCTATTGAAATTTTAATACAAAGTTTCCTTGTAGGCCAGCAGAGGCAGATGCTACAATAATTTTCATTGTTGATTAGGCTGAAAATAAAGCTTTAAGTTCTTAGGTGAAAAAGTTTACATAAAATATATTTTAATTAATCAATTTGTCAAGTTAAGAACAAAGTCTCCTTTCAAGGCAGCAATTAGCTTTTTTTTTACTCAAAGGGTCATGAGAGTGAGGGATTCTCCCCCAGAACATAATGGATGCTGGGTCATTGACTTTATTAAAGGTTGAGTCATGTAGACTTTTGACAGACAAGAGAGGTGCGAGTTAATATGGTGCAGACAGGAAAGTGGAACTGAGAACTCAACAAGATCAGCTACGATTTTATTGAATGGTGGAGCAGGCTCAAAAGGGGCTGAGGGCGTATTCCTGCTTCAAAGTCCTTTGTTCCTATGTCCATTCCTTACTTTGGCTAGTAAGAAAGATGATTTTTGTTATGATTTCTACAATCAGAAATGAGTACTGGATTTCTTCTTTTAAAAAAAAAATGCACTTTGATTTTGGAGCTGTTAAATACCACGAAAGGCAGGATTTGAACAGGCAGCCAGAACAATCCTGCATCTCTGGATTAACGGCCCAGTGATAATACCACTAGGCTATCACCTCCATATTATAAATATATAGTACTAATTTAATATTCCAGTGGGAAAGACATCAGGGTTCAACTGTTAAGATTGGGCAGCTCTGTGGCCAGTAAGACAGCTGCAGGAATGATATTTGGTAACAAAAGAAAGGGAAGTCTTGGTGGAAATGGACACACATGAGATTTACTTTGTCAATGAGTTATAGCATTTGCATAGCAGATTGATGAACTGAATTTATTCTGTAATCTTTATAGCAATTGAAACATGAAAACAGTAATGTTTTTGAGATTGGCATACTGTAGCATGCAACATGTTCTTTATTTAAGAGACTGCACTAATTGTTCCAGTGGTCAAGCAACAGTTAACCTGGTGGCCAAAGCATCTGACGTCCACCACATACATGAAGGTGAATGTGGTAGACAGACTGTCCACCTTCCTTGCCTTCATTAAGGATGAGTCTGTAGCCATTTGTTAAGCCCAACTTCACAGCACACTTTTTAGCAACGATCACCAGGTGTCCCAAAAGCTAAAAGATATTTGGAAAAACAGCATAATTGAATCAGTATAATTCACCATAGAATTAACAAAACATTTATTAAATTAAACAAAATTATTATAGAATTAACAACATCTAATATATATATATAAAGTAGGACTTAATAACAAATTAATCCTGACATGGCCTGATATTAAGCCACAGATGCTATGTTTAATTCCCCCATCCTGATGCTCTTAACATATTACAATGTTACAACTGATTTCAGTGACCAAGGGGAAATGAGAAGAAATGGTTTTTCAACCTGTAAGTGACCTAAAAACTCTTTCAACAAAAGAGCAATGTCTCACACACAGGAACATTGAGCACTTGCAAAGTACAGATTTGTATACTTTCAGGAGACAATTTCATTCTTGTAATCAGAATCCCTACAGTCTGAAATCTTCTGCATGATTTCCCTCCAAAGTTAGATAAACAGTGATGGGTCGAAGAGGGACACCAGTGACCAAGGCAGAGTGGAGCCTCGGTTTGACCGTGTCCTGTTCTTGTATTCCTGTCTACCACAGAGGAGGGAATACAACGGAGTTTTACAAAGGGGAGACCCCTGGGCTTCAGGGGCTAGGTTAAGAGGACAGATCATCTAAACGAGGCCTATTTTCTCCAGAATTTAGAAGGTTAAGTGGGTGGTGTTGTTTTTCAGGCTGGAGGCCACTGGGTCTACTTTTGTCAGTCATTTATATAAACGATTTGAAGGAGAGCATAGGAGGCATGGCTGGCAAGTTTGCAGATGACATCAAAATTGGCAGTATGGTGGACAGTGAAGAACGTTCTCGAAGATTGACCTAATTGATCAAGATCTGTTTGTAATGGGCTGAGGAGTGGCAGATTGAGTTTAATTTGGACAAATGCAAGGTATTGCATTTTGGTAAAATAAACAAGGGCAGAACTCACAGTCAATTGTAGGGCCCTGGGTAGTGTTTAGAACAGACAGACCTAAGGGTTTAGGTACAAAATTCTCTGAACTTTGCATCACAGGTAGACAAGGTGGTTAATAAGCATTTAGCACACTTGTCTTCATTGGTCCGACTTTTGAGTGCAAGTACTGCGATGCCATGTTGCCAGGAATGAAGGGTTGGAGTTATTAAAAAAATAGGCTGGATAGGCTGGGACATTTTCACTGGAGCATAGAGAATGAGGGGTGATCTTACAGGTTTATAAAAATCACCAGGGACAGAGATAAGGTGAATAGCAAGGTTCTTATCTCTATGGTGGCAAAGTTCAAACTCAGGGGCAGATTTTTAAGACGAGGGGAGAAAATTTTAAAAAGGACATGGGGGCAACTGTTTATTTTTAAAAAACAGTGGTTCACATGTGAAATGAACTGCCAGAGGAAGTGGTGAATGCAGGTACAGTCTTACAATATTTAAAAGCTATTTGGATATGTACATGAATAGGAAAGATTGAGGGACTAATTTAGTTTGGGAACGAGGTCAATGTGGACTAGTTGGACCGTAGGGTCTGTTTCCATGTTGTACAACTCAAACTCCACTGAGTCAGCTTTATAACTCTGCAAATGACTGGACTTTGAGCAGATAAAGTCTCATATTAAATCTTTCCATAGCAGTTTAGATTTGTCCATGAAAAAACAAAACCTCCTTTACTTGGTATATTTTCCACGGAGTTTAAAATATTGAGGGATGTGTTACGAGACATTTAAAATGATAAAGACAAACATATCCACCAAAAGGATTTTTTTTGGTAGCAACATTATACGGCTCAAGTTCCTTTTACAGCCAATTATCTAAACCCCTCTACTCCCAGACTATAAAATATGAACAACTTATGAATTTAATCAAGAAGATGGAGACTGACTGTGCAGATGCCTGCACTTTTCATGTCCATCTTTTCCTTTCTGCCCCAATTCTTAATTCCAACTTTTATTTATGTAGCACATTGAAGTTACTTCACGGCATTTCAGAAATATAATTAGAAAAGCTTGTTTAATTCTAAACTACCATTGATCTACCACTCCACTTCCAACTTCTGCCATATTCAAACTTAACTCAAAACGTTACTTCACAATCCCTTGCTCCCCTAGCTTTTCTGTCTGATCCCATTTTAGTTAACATGGGCTATGAAGAGGGAGCAATTCACAATTGCTTTTCATAATTATCATTATAACCCCATTCCTTAAAAGAAATCCCACACTTGACCTTGAAATCCTCAAAAACTATTACCTCACCTGCAACCTCCTTTCTCGCTTTAGGTCCTGAGCAGCATGTTGTTGCTGACCAATTCATTGCAATGGCCCTGTTCAAATTTCAGCAGATCAAACATCAATCATAGCATTTTGTTCCTGCCTTATCCTTATTTCTTAGGATCCAATGCATCTTTTTAGGACTTTCCTTGGAGTTTTACATCCACTTAGATGATTTTAACAAATAATCTCTGCTGCAAAAATACATCCATCACCTTTTCCATAAATCTTTCCTTGGGTTACTCCTCTTACTAAAATCAGCATGCAGCCCCTCATTGTTGTTACCAGCAGACAATTCTAACTCAGCTATCTCAACCTCTCTGCACCGTCAGGCCAGTCCAAAATCAAGTCTTACAATATTTCTCACCTCCCCTTCCCCTAGCTAAACCCCTACTCCCTTTCACTAATTCCAAACCTTCTTCAGACATTCTCTTAAGTTCTTTGCAAACTTAGCATCCTGATCAACTCCAAGTTGTGCTTCAAGCCTCATTCTCTGCATCTACTTTTACTTCCTCAAAATTGCCCAGCTCCAACTGACAACTTTAAAACTTCATACACAACAATTTCAATATCTCCCCTCACTGCTGATCTTTTGTCTTTTAACCTCAAAAAAAAAAAAAACCAACTTGCCCAGAATACTGTTCAGTACATCCCATCTACACATCCAGTTGACCTACACTGGCTTGCAGTACTCCACTGCATCAGGTTTAAAATTTTGTTCCAATTTTTCCTTCTAAAAAGTGATCCATGATCTCACTCACCGTACCTCCACATTAAGTTTCTGTCCTTTTACTCTCCTCACCTATCCATTTTGACTTGAAACTTTTCATCTTCCTTCCTGAGGTCCCACTATTACCAGCAAGCTTCAGCTGCCTGATCCAGTCTTGGAGGTCATCTGCGTAAGCTGCTTAACTTCTCCATTGCTTTCCTTTTGTTGTCATCATTCAAAGTCAATTCATTCGCCAAATATTTCTAATCTTTACTACTTTCCATACAGTCCGTTAAGCATCTTGAAATGTTTTATGGTAAGATATCACTAAAATGCTGTCAAAGCTTGAATTACTTTAAGAACAGTGTAAAAACTTCACACACCTCTGCATCGGAGTCTTCTGCTTTAGACAATTGGGCAATAGGCTTCTTTGGGACCACTAAAAAGTGAGTTGGAGCTTGTGGTTGAATATCATTAAAAGCGATACACTGTGAAAAGAAAATCCATTTCATTCTGATGAAATACAGTTATCGAGCATACAGCATGGAAACAGACCCTTCAGTCCAACTTCTCCATGCCAACCAGATATACTAAATTAATCTAGTCCCATATGCCAGCATTTGGCCCATGTCCTTCTGAACCTTTCTTATTCATGCATCCATCTTGATGCCTGGATAAAGGGACATCAAATCAGTCATCCGGAGAGATCCATCCAGAAAGAGGTACCAAGAGATTTGGCCAGAAAAGGAGATAGGGATGGTGGCTTGAGAGTTTGGTATCCTCCTGTTATGATTAGAACCAGTGGATTTTATTGACTATTGTTGTTAACCTGGGTCAATCAGGGAGCCCTGGCTGACTGATATGAACAAGGGATTTAGAATCCCCTCACTTGAGGGACTGACTCCAAGCTGGGTGGTCACAGCCAGTGTACTGTTCGCTTGTAAATAACGGGTGACTTGGTGACAGGATACCAGCCTCTGCACTGTTATTTCACTTCCCTTTTGGTTTTTCACAAAGGGAAGCTTACTCTTCCTCAGCTTCAAATAACACCTTCAGCATTCTAACCAACACTTCTGGTCTGAAACTTTCAAACTCAGATCCTTACACTAAAGTAACCTACTTCCTAACTGTTCTAGAGATAGTATGAACTGCAGATGCTGGAGAATCTAAGATAACAAGGTGTAGAGCTGGATGAACACAGCAGGCCAAGCAGCATCAGAGGAGCAGGAAAGCTGGCGTTTCGGGCCTAGAACCCGAAACGTCAGCTTTCCTGCTCGGCCTGCTGTGTTCATCCAGCTCTACACCTTGTTATCATAGTTACATAGTTAGTCCAGTTCAGTTTCTGGTTAATGGTAATCCCCATGACGTTGATAGTGGGGGGATTCAGGAATGGTAACTCAACTGAATGTTAAAGGGCAGTGTCTCCTGTTGGAGTTACTAATTGCCTGGCAACTTCTTTAAGCGCAAATGTTACTTGTCATTTGTTAGCCCAAAGTGGACTGCTTCAGAGTCTGAAGCGTCGGGTAATAAACCACCCAATCGCTGACATCAGAACACCACCGAGGTCAGCTTTGGTGCAGCAATGACTGTTGACGGCTTGGTTACACGTGAAAACCTCGGCTCAGTCTCCGCGCTCAAGTTAAGACGGTTCATCAGTATCTATAAAGGCACAAAGTGAAATAGACAGCACTAAAATTACTGGGAAGGTTCAGCATACCACACCCTCCTCCACTTGCCGCGCAGCTTCGATCATTTCGGATCGGTGGGGATCTGGACGGCTGAATCAGCACAGGCAAACAAGGCACCAGGCCTCGATACAAGCTCGCTCACAGCTTTAAGTGATATAACAGCAAACAGCTGACACAAGATCGCTCAACGCGGCCTGGCTCTACCTTATCGTCTTCGTACAGGAGTTCACACGGGATTTCTTTGCGAATGATTTTACCAAAGATGGTGTCACCCGCGGCTTGAACACTTTGTGCCATAGTTCAATCTGCACTCTCACAGAAGGCACCCGAGGAAGACACCAGATTCACACTACTCCCAATGCTTCGCCAGATCCCGCCCCGCCAAGCCACACTGCCAATCACCAGATCCCGCCCCCTCAAGTCACACCGCCAATCACCAGATCCCGCCCCCTCAAGTCACGCCGCTAATCACCAGGTACCGCCCCCGCAAGTCACGCTGCCAATCACCAGATCCGCTCGGATGCCGAGGGGAAAAAAAATCACCTGCTTCCTGCTCCTCTGATGCTGCTTGGCCTGCTATGTTAATCCAGCTCTACACCTTGTTATCTCGAATCACCTAACCGCCCGTTCTCCTATTGGAGGCAGGGGGCGACACGGCGCTGATTCATACCCAGCGTGGTCACGTGACGCGGCCATTAGGCGATAGCGAATCCTTTGTGGTTGGGAAGCTGTAAAATGAAGAATTAATTTTATACTTCGTAACCAACTTATTTTCTTTCCGAAATAAAAACCAAAATAACTGCGGATGCTGTAAATAAGAAACAACAACAGAAATTGCTGGAAAAGTTCAGCAGGTCTGGCAGCATCTCGTGGAATCCGTACAGTGTGGAAACAGGCCCTTTGGCCTAACAAGTCCACACCGACACTCAAAGCATCCCACCCAGACCCATTCCCATATAACCCACCTAATCTACAAATCCCTGAACACTACAAGCAATTTAGCATGGCAAATCGACCTAGCCTGCACGTGTTTGGACTGTGGGAGTAAACCGGAGCACCTGGAGGAAACCCACGCAGACACAGGGAGAATGTGCAAATTCCACCCTGCCGCCCCACTGTACCCCCCACTATCGTTTACTCCTTACCCTCTTCCCAGACCCTATCTCATGCATATAAACCAACACTTTCCTAGTTCTGAGGGAGGGTCAAGGGTGCCAAATTGTTAACTCTGGTTTCTCTTCACAGATGCTGCCAGACCTGTTGAGCTTTTCCAGCAATTTCTGTTTTTGTTTGTTATTTTCTTTCCGATTGCTGAAAATTGTTCTGCAAAGTAAAGCACATGACTTTTACAATTTTAACTTTGAGTAAAATGATTTGAAAGCACTACACTACATGTAATAATCTTACTGTTTTCACTCAACGAAAGTTTCTGTTTAGACAAATAAAAACAAACTACAGTTGAAGTTCATAGAGCATAAGTACTCAGAGCAAGACTTGGCAATTCAACAACTGAGTCTGCCCCACCATTTGATATGATCATCGTTGATATTGTCCTCATTTCCACTTTCCTGCCTGCTCTCCCTAACCCTTCAAACGATTACTAATTTTAAAAAATCTGTCTATATTGTCATTAAATTTACTCAATGTCCCAGCATCTGCTGAACTCTGGGGTAGTGAACTCCACTGATTCATGACCTCTGAAGAAAAGTAATTTCTCCATATCTCTTTTTAAATCTGCTATCCCTGATTCTAAAACTCTCGTTCTAGGTTGTCCCACATGAGGAAACATCCTTTCATCACCTGATTTAAATTGGGCTTATTGATAGCCAGTTTTCAGGGATTCCTTGTTCTCTAGAGTATCATAGAATCTTATTTTTAATTCAAGACCAGCAGCTCAACATGCGGGCTCAGTCCCCAGAGCTCATCTGCTCTGCCTGCTTATAGGTTTTTCTTCTTTCATTTTTTTTTCTTGCTTTAATCCACCTACCTCCTTTAGAAGAGCAAATTTGTGCAGTTTGGAGGAGATCAAAACAACATCGTAGCAAGAGATGACACCCAGCATCTATGGTGTTGGTGAGAGCAGGCAGCCCAAGGCAGAAACACGAACAGGCAGCCTGAGGCAGCAGCCAGAGCAGACAGCCCAAGTTATTCCAGCATCTCCAGCGAGCACGAGGGAGATCAAGACAGTGCAGGGAGAGGGAGTCCATTGCAGTAGACGATCCCAGCGTGGAGGAGATTAAGCCATGGGAATTGTGAGGCCAGCACGGCTAAGCCCTTAAGAAGGACTGTAATGTTGAACTTGTAACTTTATTTCTTTACTTTTCTACTTTGTAAAGGACTAATGTTGAATTTTTTACTTTATTTCTTTTTCTATTTTGTACCCAGCTACATTTGTTCCTAAGGGGAATGACGACTTTGTATTGTACTGTTGTATCCCTATACTTGAGCATACGTGACAATAAAATCCAAATCTATTTCTAAGAATCATAGAATTTTACAGTCCTGAAGGAGAATATTGACCCATCGTGTCTGTACCAGAGTTAGTCCCACTCTCCAAACCTATCTCCATAGCTATCTAACTTCATTTCTTTCAAACATATGTCCAGTTCTGTTTTCTTTGGAAATTCCTATAGAATCCACGTCCATCACTCTCCTAGGAAGTGCATTCTAAATCCTAACAACTCTCTGAGTGGAGAGGATTTGCCTCATCTCACTCCAGCTCTCTTACTGACAATCTTGAAATTGAAACCCCTGGTTACTGACGTACCAACTAGTGGAAGCAGAATATTCTTCCTTACCCTATCAAAACTGTTTATAAGTTTGAATGCCTAAATTAGGTCACCTCTTAATCTTCTCTGCTCCAAGGAGAATAAGCCCAATCTCTCTAATTTTTTGTTGTATCTAAGACCCTTCATTCCTGGTTATCATTCTTGTAAATTTCTTCTGAACTCTCTCCAAGGCTTTAACATTCCTCCTTAAATAAGGTGCCCAGAACTGAACACAATACTCCAAATGTTGTCTGACCAATGATTTAAAAGAGGTGTAGCATCACTTCTTTTTATATACTCTATGCCTCCACTTATAAACCCAAGGATTCTATAAGCCTTCTGTTAGGAAACAGATCAGATCCCCAAAGTATGCTATGGAGATAGCCGACCCTAACTTTTATAATTTTTAAAAGGCAAGTGTAAAGGCACTGTTTTCCAGATGTACTTTGATTGGTCCATCACTAAGCTTTAACCAAAACACACTTTATTCTTACGACACAGTTAAAATACAACAAAAAGAAGAATTGGCATAACTTTACTCCATTGAGATACTTAACAAGACAATGTATTATTTAACCATTAGTCATCAACTGTTCCAATACAGGCAACATCCCAAAACACACCCTGGGCAAAAAAAATGCTATTCAGTACATTAGTTATGATTCTCACATGCTATCTCTCTCCAGTCCGGAAGAAAGAAACACCTAAAGAAACAATCTGTCTCTTTTAAGAGGAAGCCTTGCTGTTTAGGATTTCACTTGAGCAGCAGCAAACTTAAGCTCTGAGCTCCAGCAGCCTGCTAGCAGAAAAAATCAGCAACTAACTGAGAGCCAAACTAAAGGACTTCCCAGATCTGTGTGAGCCCTGACCCAGCTCACTCATGATTCTTATGCCATTAAAATAAACACCCAGAGAAACTCATAGCTGTTTACCAACTGTCTTTCCAGAGGAGACATTTTGGCACCACTGTGAGACCACCCTCTTCAAGAGAAACAGTAAAGAACACGTTTATTAAAGGCACAGGACTGTCATGCCTTCCTGTTACAAAAATGTTGAACCAAAGATATACAAACATGGCTTCATTTTCAAAGCCTTTAGTCTCCCAATATTAGTACTCTGTATTACATATGCATCGTGTTAACTGTAAGCATGTAAACATTCAATAATACAATGCATTTCTTCAGTCACCGAACACCTCCATTTTCTTTCATCAAAGCCATGATAATGCATCAGCAATTATATTCTCTCATCCTGCCACATACACAATTCTCAAACTGAATGGCTGTCACAATAAACTCCATCTAAATAGTCTGCTATTTTCATCCTTACATATTTCCAAAAACATTAAGGGGCTATGATCAGTATGCACAATTGTCTCAGATACATCGTTAGCAAAATAAATGTTGAAATGTGGCAATGCCAACACCAAATTCAAGGTATCTTTCTCAATGGTGAAATATTTCTTCTGATGAACATTCAATATTTGGGAAAAATACCCTTTCGATGAACATCCAATTGTTGGGAAAAATACCCAATAGGTCTTTCTATCTTCTAATCATCTTCTTGCAAGAGTACAGCACCAACACCCACATCACATGCATCACGCAGCTTTGTGCAGTTGGGTGTTGCTAACACTGGGGTGGTGCTGAACACAGCTTTCAGGCTGTTAAATGCCTTCTGACACTCATCTGTTCACTGAAATTTTCTGCACTTCAACAGGTCAGGCAGTGCCACAACCACCTGCTAAAATTCAATTTGAATTTCCGGTAAAAACCACTCAAAGCCAGGCATTGTTGTAATTGCCTCTTTTCAACAGAATGGGAAATTCCCTAATAACCTTTGTTTTCACATCCCGTGAAGCCACCTGTCCATGTCCAATGGTTTGGCCTAGGAATGTGACTTGGGCTTTTGTGAACTCACTTAGCCAGGTTTATCACCAAGCCTGCTTTCTGAAGTCAAACAATTCTGCCAAATGCTCCAAATGTTCCTTCCATGTGTGACTAAAATCACCAGATCATCTCTGTACACCACACAATTGTGAAATCCCAAAATACCTTATTGATTAATCTTTGAAATGCGACTGATGCTTTTTTCATACCAAATGGCATAATTTTAAACTGGTAAAGTCTATTTGGTGTCATGAAGGCTAAAATCTTCCTTGCTCTTTCGGATTAAGGTACCTCAGTATACTTTGAGGAATTACTTTTCACTGTCTTTTGTAACAGAATACACATGACAATACATAAATCAAATCAAATTTTAAAATGTTCAGAAATGTAAGTTGCTTGTTACACTATCTCAATGCAGCCTTTTGATAGGGTACAAACTGGACTTCATAAGCATTGACCTTTCAATAGTCCACACATAATCATTGGATACCATCTGGCTTTGATACCATCAGTATGGGTGAGCTCCATTCATTGCAACTGTTGGAGCGTACCCCCCCTGACAGGGGACAAAATCTCAGGAGGCAGGCAGGATTCAGCCACGTGAAAGATGTTTATTCAAGCAGAAACCAGTTGATGTAGTGAGAGGGCCAAAGAATCTTCTCTGAATCGGCAGGGAGATCAATGAC